CACGTTATTATCGTGCACCCGAAGTTATTTTGGGTATGGGCTATACCGAAAATGTGGATATTTGGTCTGTGGGCTGTATTATGGGTGAAATGATAAGGGGTGGTGTTCTATTCCCCGGCACTGATCATATTGATCAATGGAATAAAATTATTGAACAATTGGGTACTCCGTCTACATCATTTATGCAGCGTTTGCAACCAACTGTCCGTAATTATGTTGAAAATCGACCACGTTATTCGGGTTATTCATTCGATCGTCTATTCCCCGATGTACTCTTTCCAAATGATAATAATGAACAAAGTCGACGAAAGGCATCGGAAGCACGTGATTTACTTAGTCGTATGCTAGTTATTGATCCCGAACAACGTATTTCGGTTGAGCAAGCACTATTACATAGTTATATAAATGTTTGGTATGATGCTGAAGAGGTTAATGCACCAGCACCCGAACCATATGATCATAGCGTTGATGAACGGGAACATACCGTCGAACAATGGAAGCGACTCATCTATGAAGAAGTTATGGATTATGAGGCGCACAATACTAATGCGCCCGTAAATACTACACGGTAGACCCTGAATTAATTTAGGCATGGCATACTAATGCTTCTGAGCAACTCTTAATGTATATAAAATATAAGAACAATAAAAGCATTAATACTTTCAAAATAATAAAGTAAAATAAAAAACATATAAAAAATAAAGTAAATAAACATAAAATATTAGAGATCAGCTTGTTTCGCCTCTCAAAAACAAAAGGGTTCAAAATATATGTTCTTATTTGCAAAAGTGCATAACAAAAGCGGAAAGTGATTTTTTTCTAGTAAAGATATGATATTAAATTGGAAATGGCGAATGTAATGAAAAGAGTACAATACATACATAAATACATATTTCTAACAAGTATTTGCTACATAAAAAAAAAAAAAATATAATTACGAGAACCACAAAAACAAAAAACGTAGTAAGTGTAATACTTTATTGAAGAATAAATAAATATCCCCGATAACTTAAACTTACAAGCGCAACATAAGCAATTTATTTGGCACATGGCATAGGAAGTGATAGACGGACGGACTCAGCTCGTGACGCTGATAATTTTTGTACACTATTTATAGGGTCTCAAACTTTTTCTTCTGGATGTTACAAATTTCGAGGCATACTAACACAGATTCACATTTACCGATCCAAACGGAGTTAGATTGCTGCAAAAACAGTCCTTGGTCAGATGAAATCCGAGTCAATTCCGGTGCGTAGCACTGGCTGTCGTGAGAATTCGAGGCATACTTATTTACCCTGTTCAGGGTATAATTCGGAAATAATAAAATAAACAAAGTTCAGACCCACCAAATGATTGAGCATCTGAAAAAAAAATTAATTTAATTAAATTATGAACTATGGAAACAATGCTGTACATCATTAAACGACGGCGAATCAGTCTAGCAATAAGCATATGCATTTATTCTTTTACTAATTGAATAGCTATATTTATATTTAGTATGCTTAAACTATTATGTTTATTAAATTAGGTCGTAGAACCGTAGTATACTTTACATATCATAAATATGTACATATGTATGCGCGTATACCCTTTTCAACTAACTTGCTTATGCAGCTATTTTTAGAACAAGCGTAGACATCGTAGAGATTTTTAAATTATACAGTAGAAAAATTTTAGCAGCAGTCGTAGTCTGACTACTTTTCTATATAAATATATTTGTAAGATGCACTGAAGTGGAAGAGAAATTATACACGGGAGGGTGAATTGGGTAATAAACATACTGTTGAAAATATACATATGCACATATATAGTATATAGCAGCACTAAATTGCCTGTGTTCTCATGCGGTGTGGTGTCCTGTATTTGTATTTTGAGCACAAAGAGTGAATATGAGCGATGATAAACTAATTTAGATTTACTACACATTTCAATTTTGTAAAATTCAGTGGGTATGGCTCTAATTTAAGGGTGATTGCGTATAGTTAGAGATTCAAATTTATTGAGGCATGAGTAAAATAAAAATTAGTTATTAAAAATGGCAATGAATACCAACGCCGACGTAAAATATATATAATCAGTTTGCTTTCAAGGAAAATTATACAACTACAAATAATATTCTGTTTTAAGGTTACCTAACCGTGGTAAACTACCTGCAACTTTCAGTAATACAACCGATATGTAGTCCCCGGTTAATATAATATACATATACATATGTAGATCCAATTATAGGCAACATAGAACTCCAACTGTTAATCCTTACCATTATGACCTTACCATAGTCATAAAACTGCATTTAACATTAAGATTCGGTATGTTATCGTGCTCGAACTCAATTTCTAGGGCAGACGGATGTTTTTTAGAATATATTTTTAACTGAAAAATATGTTTCGAGTCATTGCTACGCTTTAGAATAATATTTATAAATTTAGTGGTACGTTACCACAATTATCTTCATTAATTTGAATGATTCTTTCGTTTTAAGGGTGCAATGTTTGGTACATACTTATTTATAAATTGGCTCACATTTTCGTTGGAACAGGGTTCGGACTTCGATATGCATAGGTTGTATGTGTAGGTAAGTATCCTCGCTCTTGCTCAATTAAAAAACTCAAAATTGCTTAGAAGCTATTCAGTGTCGTTAAAAAACATTGAAAGGAATCATATTTTGACTTAATTGGCTGGCTATTATTCTCCTGTTATAGGAACATAAGATAATCTGTGTATCAATTCTAATTACATATATACTCTGTATAATAAATATTTATCATACAGCAACAATACAGAAGTAGGTACAAAGGGCAATAATACTTACTTAAATTATGCAATTGCATGTTTGAAAAATGATCCTTTTGTTCTGCTATTCAAAAAAATCACTAAAAACACAATTTAATTTCATTTAAAAGTTTAATTAGCTAAAATATATGTCTTCACAACTACTTTTGGAGGACCTTCACTACATTTTGCATTTGCACATAACACACACAATCATTTCGACACTTTTATTGCATTTTGATCACTTTAATTGCACATTTTGCAAAAAAATACTTTAACACAGTCATTTTTAGATCATTTTGCGAATATAACACTATAATGCAATTTCTTTTGACTACTTGGAAAATTTTCAATTGTTATGCGGAATAAATAGCGGGTAACTGTTTCTCTTGTAGCGGAAGATGCAACTGATCATTTCTTAGAGTTGCCAATGAATCTTTTTGCAATTGCATAATTTTAATTAGCAGGAACCGGAACACATTTTATGGTTCCTATTTTATTGTTTTAAGCTGAATTATTTAAAACTTTGAATTTACAAAAAAACATATTTGAATAAATTCATACGTTAACTCAAATATTTAGCGGATACGTAATTTTTTTGTAAATATAAAATCAAAAAATTTACTCCAAGGTTTGGCGAATATATAAGTTTGTGTATATGTTAAGATAATTTACTTTTATATATATTTATATGTATATGTATTTATTATTGCTGTATTTAACTGTCTGCATATTTTGCCGCAGTATTACATTTATCCTTAATTAAATTGGTAAACGAACTATTGCCTGCTATTTTACAAGTTTAGCAGCCACTGCCGCATTGGCTTTCCAACCCTGTACTGGTTGTAAACACTGCTAGGTGATTTCTGTATTGTAAGTTAATATTTAATATGGTGCATTGTTATTTTAATATAAACTGAGAATAGTTTTTCTCTATTTGATTCCGCGCTTTACAGTACAAGCATACAATATTTCGAAAATTGTTTAAAAACCAAAATTACCTTTGATGTTTTCATGTAAACGCTACTAAAGAATAAACCATACTATTGCGGCAGCGCTCAAACTTTTTAGTCACACCATGTCAGCTGTTTTTGGCAGGAAAAACGAAAAATTATTTCTTAAGTTACATCCGTGTTGTATTTAAAATATTTTAAAATTTAAATAGGTAGTAAGTGGTGAATAGTGGTATAGTTATAAGCGGGTATATCCGATATAGTGTGTGTGCATAATTTTTGCAAGTGTTTAAGTGGCTAAAAGAGAAGTTGCAAAATTAGTTGGGAAAGGTTTCACAGTGCTATACTAAGTTTGGATTTTGCTGGTGCATTCTAGTAACTTCTAAAATATGCATGAATTCGTTTAGCAAATCTGTATATGAATAAATAGATAGTTATTTGACTGAAATCCAACAGTGTCCTTTCAGATTGGGCCTGGTTGTTGCTAATAGTCAATGGCGCTGCTAACAAATCAAGAACTTTCTACAGGTGAGTGTTTTTTATTTCAATGTATTGGTATTATAAATAATTGTTAACTCTTTTTAAGCTTTGTTCTCGTTTGTTTTGATATTTTTTTGACTGCAAGATGCATATTTTTACCACAGACTCTCGGAAAATGTTTGATGTTTACATGAAAACGCAGGAAAAAGTTATAAAGCAATTATCTAGATGATTGATACCAACGATTTTTTTTTGGAAATACAGCCCGTAGTTTTGCTTGATTATTTAAACTGCTTGCTCCAGCGCTTATTATTTCAATACTAGTATTTATACAGCTGTTCGAGAAACAGACTCACGACAAAAGTTTGTGTTGAAAATACAAGAAAACACTTACTTATAGTAATGGAGACAGCTTGGTATAAATCAGTGAAAAATGTGCTTTAATTCACATATATTTTAAAACAATTTTGTATGTACAAGCGAAAGCTCTGATTGAAATATTTGGGTTACATTATTTTTCTCATTTTACAGAAAACGAAAAGTTTAAAAAGTACTTAATTTCCCTACAAAAAAATCCGCTACAACGCAGCTCGAATATGAAAATATATGAAACAGTTGCTCAGAAACTTTTTATGTAGTTTCCATTCAATATTTCCGTAAACAAAACACAAGCAAATAATACAATTTAATTAAAATGCAAAAGCAATTCAGTCAAGTTTTAAAAATATTTCAATTGTTCGGCATAAAATCAAACGTTTACTTTATTGCATCAACAGTCGCCGGGTAAAAAGTGAGGACTCAGTATCAGCGCACTAAAAATGAATTTCTTAATATTTACAATATTTTTAATTGTATACAGCTACAATGCTGCCGCACAGCGTTGTGTACCGCTAAGTGAGTGTGAAATTGTAGATGAAAAAATTATATATAAATTTTTTGCATGATATTAAGGAAATATTGCGTTAAAATATTTTTGATGTTATAATATAATTATTTTTTTTTGATTTATAAGTCTATTGTTTAATATTTCTAATTTCTTCTTATATTAATTTTTTTTTATATTCATAAACTATTTTTTTTAACATTTCTCAAATTTCTGCACCTTAATTTTTTAGTTTTGGATTTTCAATAAACATTTTTAATATAAAATTTTTCATATCTAAACCTTTTTAAAATTATATTTCACTTTTTGCTAACATTTCTCAAATTTCAACATATTTCTTGCAGCCAATTCTTCTTGCACCGGAGCAGCTAACTCAGGCACAACTGGACCCGGTTGTTTAGCAGGCACTAGATGGTCTTACGATCCAACCAACAGGGTATGTACCGCCTTTACTTATCAAGGCTGTGGTGGAAATACGAATCGTTATTGCTCTCGTGTGGTGTGTGAACGCAGATGTATTCGTACTGCTAGTCCAAGGGTTGTTGTTGGTTGAATAAATAAATAAAAAAAATTATTATATTACTATTACTCTATAGTAGTTATAAATGCTATTTTATAGATGTGATTCAAGGAAAATAAAGTAAAAAGAGGGTTAAGTATTGTTCGGTGTTAGAAATAGTTGCCTATTGTTGCTATAACCGCAGAAAATAATAATGTTACTGTGGTGCGTAACGTTTGCTTATAAAAGTAATTGTACGGCTAAGGGACACGGTAGCTTCTATAAAGACTCTATAGCAAAGCTAAGTTTTTACTCTTGCAATCTGGAACAGAACTTATAATTTCATATATACATATATAGTTTGGATAATTTTAATTTTAGTTATGCGGATGATCCTGCATTCCTATAGGGTTAGATCACCGAACCAATTTCCGACGGTTTTTAAGCACCTGAAAAACTACGGTCCAATGACGCCGCCGGCTCAAAAACCGCAATAAACTGTAATTTTTCCAGGATGCAATGGGGACTCGTAGAGTACGTGTGAATTCCTGTCTGATCAATAAAGCGTATTTTTCTTATTGACGAAGCCCTTCAGTCAAAAATGAGCTTCCTTGCTGAAGATGAATTTTTGTTGAAAATCCGGATTATTCAATTCACGAGCATATGACGATTCTGGTGGTTAAGCAGATTCAGTTCTTGCGTCAGTTTGATTTTGTAAGGATGTCGCCACAACGACGTCACAGAGATGCTCAACGTATGAGAACGACGTGTGAGAGACTGATTTGGATCTTACTCAATTGGTGCGCTAGCGGCAATAATATTCTCATCACTACGGGCACTTCTTCGTCTCACTGACACGTGAACATTTGGTACTGTGGCTGTGGATTCAAATTTTGCCACTAGACGCTCATTTGTTGATCTGACAGGACGATTATGACGACCATATATTGGACGTAGCGCTCTTAAAGTTGAGGACGTACAGTCCGTATTTCTGTAGTAAATTTTAATAATTTCGACTCGTTGTTGGATCGTATATCTTTCCATTATGAAATGGCATACCTTCATAAAGAGAAATGTTAAAAGAGTGGCGTCGTTCGCTGTTCCTATCGGTCTACTTTTGTAGCATTCCTATTGAAAACACCCGTTATCTATATAAGTAATTTATAATTAAGCGGTTTTACCTACATTCCGTTCCACTTAACTGGAATGTCCCCGGTTTTCTATTCGGACAAGGATTATAAACTCGCCGAAATTCGCAAAATAATTTTTAGGGTTTTCTGCCAGTACAACAACAACATTTTATATCTTAACTTACTCTCTTTTCAAACACACTCTATAGCGGTTACAGTGCTGGGTGAAACACTAGTAGAAGAAAGTCCTTTCATTTTAAGTGTACAAAATTATCTTTTTACCTCAGTCATAAAATGATTATATATAATATGACCTAGGATATATTAAAATTGCTAGAAAGTTTGTAATACGCTGAGGGAAACGTCCGTGCCCTGAAAAATATATAAATCCAACGCAGAATAACTCTTGCCAGCAGGTATTACTTCGGACTGAGCTGGCAATTGAGAAGTAAAATCCTTTCTCGACGAACAACGACTAAACACCACAAGTCACTCATCATTCCCGTAATGCTATATGGCGCAGAGGCAAGGACGTTGGTATAATTTGATGAGTCGACATTATGGGTTTTCGCGAAAAAGGCTCTGCCGAAGATTTATGGTTCTTTGCACATTGACAACGTCGAATACCGCAGTCGTTGGAACGATGAGCTGTACGAGATTTACGACGCCATTGACATACATAGTTCAGCAAATTCAGACACAGCGGCTACGCTGACTAGATCATGTGGTTGAAAACACTCCAGATCTGAGACAATTGGACAAGAGGAAGAAAAAGTTTGCTTGCTTGTGTGAAACTGGTGCGGATGACTTACAAACGGCCGTGGTTTTTAATGATCGGTAGGCTTCACCTACATATCCCGTGCTTAACTGGGCTAGAATCCCGTATTAAAATCTTTATCATAATTACTACCATTTTTTTCTTCGTTCCGTCACTTATGATTCGCACTTCTCGGTTTCGTATTGGACACAAACACCTAACCTTACTTAATTCTGAAACAACTCATAAGAGAGAAATGTGTAAGAAGTGGTTCTTAAGTGACACCTACACTAGTTATAAGTGCTTGTATGCGCCATTAGAGATCAAAGAAAATAACCTCTAGTGGTCTGGTCTTGTTTTATGTATCATCAATGAAGTAACATTTTTTTATTTGTATTTTTTATATTAATTTTGTCGCATGGCATGACACATTTTATGTACTGAATGGCCGACAGCGCTGCAAACATGCAAATTCTGTACAATAACGATTCGAATTACCGCCACAGCCCCAATAAAAGAAGGATACACAGCGGCGTTCGCCTGCATTGTAATACCACCGGACGCCGCCATTGCAGCCACCGCCATTCCAGCCCGGATTAACTGACTCGCTGCATGTCGGGAAATCTAGTATGTGTAGAATAAAGTAAATTCGAGTTTCAGATTTTTATATTTTTTACTTTATATAATATACTTACTAAGCGGCGCACATTGCTGAGCATGCGCGTTAAAGTTATTTAGAATTAAGCAGAAAAAGCAACAGAAAAATATTAAGAATTTATTTACGGCGAACATAGCGGAACTTTTCAAGAGATATAAATAACTGTCTTCTGACAAAAGACCGCAGGAAGCTTTTATAGAATTGAGCTTACATACTTACATATATTACATAAAAATAACAATAATAATACATAATAATAATCAAGGTATTGAAGGTTGTAAATGTAAGCTTCGTATTGAATTTATGTGAATATTTAAATTACTTTTTAGGCAACACGTGTGTACTGTTTTTCGAAAATATATGTCAGTTTCCATTATTTCAGCTTTAGTGAAGCTTAAACTTTTTGTTTAAAGCTTGTTGAAAGTATATTATTTTTTTTTTAACCACATGATAGCTGGGTTTCCCTTTGTATTTCGAGATTAGAAGGCACAAACAAATTTTAATCCATGAAAATCGCTAAATTATTTTTAAAAATATTATCCATTTAAATCTAAAGGGGAGATCCATATCGAGGCTCCCTACTTTTTTTTAAAGTAAAAGCACAGAAACTTAAAATTTAATGGGGAATGTTTATTATCATTCGAAAGAACATGCTTTGGCATTTTTTTTTTGCAGATTATCTCGTTCAAATGTTGGAATGTTGGACGTTGACTCGTTCGAATATTTCGACTGGTGAGTAGCGTGATGTTTTGATTCAAGGTCCTCCGCATGGACTTTAGACTTTACATATTCCCACAAGAAAAGGTCTAAAGGTGCCATATTACACGATCCAAGGCATGAAATTATCTGCTCACCGAAGTGTTATCTCAATAAATCCATCGTCTTGTTGAAATCAAATGACGCCGACATCACGAGCTTCAGTTTCAATCATGAAACAGTCGGTTATCAAAGCGAGATAACGGTTGCCATTGACAGTTACGTTCTCACCGGCATCATTTTTGAAGAAATATGTATCGCTTATTCCACTGACACACAAACCACACCAAATGGTATTTTTTTTTTTTTTTTTTTTTTTTTTTTTTTTTTTTTTTTTTTTTTTTTTTTTTTTTTTTTTTTTTTTTTTTTTTTTTTTTTTGATGAAATGACAGCTATTGAATATCTTCAGTTTGTTCTTCTTCCCAAATGCGGCAATGTTTATTTTTTACATACCCATTCACCCAGAAACGGACCTCATCACTGAACAAAATTTGTCTCGAAAATGTCAGATCTTATTGAAACTTTTCAAGAGCCCTAGAGCAAAGCGTTGTTTTTCAAAACACTTTTGCTTTGCCTTTGTTAGTCTGTTTGAGGTATATCTAAAAGATGTCATTGAACGTGTCAACCGCCTCTTGAGGTGTCGAAAAATGTTGACTTTCTAGTTTATTTTTTATAAACCGGAATAAAAAGAAATTATCCGGAGTCAAGTCAGGTTTATACGGAGGAGGGCTTATCAAATCGATGTTTTGGTTGCTTGAAAATGCAGTTATTTCAGTCGATTTGTGAGAGCTAGCATTGTCGTGCTGAAAAGTGATTCGTCTTTGACGGTTGGCTTTCCTGATTTCCTAAAAGACAACAAGCAAATAAATGATTGTAACCACTCAGAAATTACTGTTGAAATTAATTCCATTTTTAATTAATTTTCTGTAAACTGCTGTAATCAATTTCTCGATTATATAAAGTTGAGCCTGACCTTAAGCCTGAAGATCCTTTCGTTTATTTTCCTCCATAAATTAAATTGCTGGACCATCTTTCAGGCGGAAGTCATTGCAGTCAGGAAAGCGGCTGAGATAGCTAACAACGCAGGCAATAAAAATTGTGGCTATAATCTCACGCCTCATTCTTAAAAGTAAGGAGGCAGTATTCGCAAAGGGAATTTCGGGAAACAGAAATTAGTGATAAGATTGCAATCATATGTAAAGGCCCCGAAAATAACACGCATACAATATACTCAAACGGTCTTCAATAGACTGCAGGACGGCTTTTGGCCTTATGACAGGTCACAACTTACTGGCATCACATGCAAGTCCGAGGGGCGTTAGTAATGCTGACACATGCAGAAAGTCCAGGGAAGTAGAACGCTACAACATTATCTATGCTTCTGTCCTGCCTCGCATTAGATATCTAGGAGCTTTGGTAACAAGGAGTGAATTATCAAAATTAGTTATCAAGTTCAAGTTCTTAAAATTCGCAAAAAGCGTTAACGTCATTTGTGTTGAATAATTTTGATCAAATTAAACTGAATCTCCAACTGGCATTACTAAGGACTAGTAGGTCCATGTTTGGCCTGGCAGCCGTCCAGTATATCCTACCCTAATCTAAATTGCTTTGATTGCGCAAAGTTGTGGATTTATCGTATGGTTAAATAACTGTTTCGGCCATTTATTTTTTCAAGATTCTCTTAGAAAATCCGTGGCTTAGCAATGGAAAATACGTAAAGTTTACTCGTAGAAACCATTTTCGATTTTAGGTTTTGTGGAAAATAATTTATTTCTTGCCTAAACGCGACCATTTTGTCCTTTTCACAATCTTGCTACAATGCAGACCTGACTTGCTAGCCATCCCAAAAAAAAAATCGATTACCTACCTTTTTCTAGGTATATGTTGCATTAATATCAGATCCATATTAGCTTCATTAGGGAATTCCATAGTTAATTCCCATTCTGTGTGATTTAGATCCAATTTTAATAGCAACTATTATTATTTTTATTTTGGATACTGAAAGAAAATATCTAATTTGAGCCAAACTGACAACTTAAAATAGACTATTCGGATGGGCCTCGGCTAAAAAGTCTTCAGTGCGGGAGCGGATTTTCAGTTCCGAAATTAATGATAGTACAGAAGTCCCAATTTCACATAGTCGCCTTTAACTGGTCAGGTATATTCCTTAAGACTGCTTGTACGTATGGGGTCCACCCCTGGTCACCAGTCCAGAGCCGTATGAAAGCTCAACTGGTAGTAGTCTTGGCTACGAGGTCTGACCGGAGACTTAATTCTGGTACCACGGGGAGCAGGAGCTCTTGTAGGTACCTCCAACCTGCTCATGCGGACTGGCCTTTCGGGGAGTATCGTGGTGGTTGTGGTTAAAACCCAAATGCGGAATAACTGACTTTGTCGGTTGAATGTGGAGTTGCATTGCAACCGGGTGCTGAACCCAAAGCACGGCAGAGGTTTYAGATGGGCCACGAACCCGACCAAGGTGGTTAGTGTGTCCATTCCACACTGGCAATTGGTACTGAAAATGCTTAGCATTTGCAGGGCGCTGATCAACGCATTGATTTGATCCGCTGTGCTTTTGAGTGCCGTGGAGTAAGGCTGTCGTCAGCAGGTACCCACGTTAAACACACTGGACTTTGACCGCTAAGAACTGTAGAAGCAACTCGTAGTGAACCAAATCCCATTAATCAAAGAAAACGATCAGCAACACCTTCATTTTTGACCGACTTCGAACGGTTGTTTTCGGTTTCGGCTCATTTTTGGAGCACCAGTCGTTACATTGTTGGACAGCTTCGACAATAATTCCTCGTTATCGTCCTCCACTAAATGTCATCTTCAGATTTATACCTCTTGATACGAGTCTAGCGTTAACACTCTGCATACAAAAAATATTAAGCGAAATATGTTGACTCCTTCTATCCATGAGGTGGACGAATGAGACAAGTCTTCGATGACTGCAACATCTTTACTGAATGCTTTGTATCACTCAAACCGTGTGTTTGTGATAAAATAGATGTCCAAAACACCTCTGTCATATCTTCAACGATTCCGTAACCTTGCTTCAACAGGAAACACAAAATTTGCAGCAAACTCCTTGTTCAATATTTTTTCCATGATAAAAATCGCCAGGCCAAATTTTTTCGTCGTAAACAAACAGCTGCCGAACACCCACGAATTGTCATATGTTATATGGAGATCTTCACTCATACAGACAATTATAGTTTCGTTTCATAGACTAGTCCGAGTCATATTTGATCCGATAGTATCTATGAAATAAGTGTACCACTTCCAACACCTGTTGCAATCTGACAATTTTTACAGGAATAAATGCGAACAACGATCTCAACCTCTATGAAAAGCAGGAATTCGGTTAGTTTATTTTGGTCGAAATGAACTGGAACTAGAAATTATCATTTACTTAATTTTTTTTTCTCGAAAATGAACTGATTTAATTATAACGTAAACTCTCAGTATAGTTTCTGACTTACTGGACTTCTTTACCATCCTCAAAGTATTTGTACTGTCTTAGCATACAGTATGGACTCAGGAAGTCCAACTCAATTCCAAGCATTCTTAATATTTTTTGGAAATTTTAACTAAAAAATAAAAAAACACTCATTTTGTATATGTCATGCTATTATTTTATTGTTCAAAAACCGATCCACTGCATTTGATTACACTTGACCATTATTCGCAGTTATTTTGACAGGCTGCTAGCGAACAATAACGGTTCGAGTTACCGCCACAGCCGTTATAGTAGAAACTGTAGCACGCATCAGCTCCATAATTGTAATACCATCTGGTGCCACCGTGGCAACCGGATCCACCGTGGCCGCTATGATAACCACCCGAGCAGCCGTAATATCCTGTAGACGAAAATAGTCAAAATAATATATTTTCTCTGGCAAAAATATATATTTTTTGTTTACTTACTCGGCGCATTCGGGCATTGTGCCTGAGTTTGTCCAAGGAAGAGGAAGATCGACAACACTAAAAAGCAAGCGAGAAACTTCATGTTGATTTAGTAAGTGAGTTGAAGTAGTTAGTTTGAGAAACTGATAATTTTTCCAATCCAAAAAGTTGCTTTTATACCGAAAGTTACAATATCGAAAATTATATTTTAAAATTTCACTGTTTTCACGTGTAAAATTAATTCATATTTGTATTATAATATTTCTATTGTTTTTATATAAATAGCTGAACATCTGTTTTATTAAGAGAATGTATTTTTAAATTACATGAAAAAGTGTGTTGATTCAGAAAGCAAGTGAACTAATTTTTCTGCTTTTTATATAATATATCAATCTAAAAGATGCTTCTCCCCCTGAGCTTTCCAACGAAGTGGAGGTCTTCCTCTTCTTCCGTTGTCTCCCTCTTCGTTTTGTTTTCATCCATTCGGACGACTTGACATAGCTAGCATAGCCCCTGTCTCGGAACTATCTCAATATCATCGAATATCTCGTTCCATCGACTGCGGTATTCGCTGTTGCCAATGCAAAAAGTATCATAAATCTTCCGCAGAACTTTTCTCTCAAAAACTCGTAACGCTGACACATCAGATGTTGTCATCCTCCATGACTCTACATCATATAGCAGGACGTGAGGATAGGTGACTTATAGAAATTGGCCTGTGTTCGTCGAGAGAAGACTTTACTTCTCAATTGCCTACTCAGTCCGAAGTAGCACATATTAGGAAAAGTTGTTCTGCGTTAGATTTCGAGGTTGACATTGTTGTTGCTGTTAATATTTTTAAAAAGATAGAAGAAACTATTTACGACTTGGAACTTTTGACTGTCAACAGTGACTTGGAAGCCAAGTCACGAATGCGATGACTATTCGTTTGATAGCAGGAGGTATTTCGTCTTATCCTCGTTCAGTCCCAGACCCATTTGCTTCGCTTCTTTGTCCAACCTCGTGAAAACCAAACTAACGGCCCGATTATTATGGCCAATGATACCGATGTCATCTGTGTAAGCTAGCAGTTGGTCACTCTTGTCAAAGATTATACTTTCTGTATTCAGCTCTGCAGCTGGAATTGTTTTCCCCAGCCGTAGATTGAAAAAGTCGCACTATAGGGTGGCGCCTTGTCTGAAATCTTGTTTGGTATCTAACGGCTCGGAGAGGTCCTTCCCGATCCTAGCGGATATCAAAAGCACCTCTCAATGTTAGTTTACGCAGCCGTTTTGCGAGGATGCCAAATTCAGACATAAACCAAACTCGAAGGCGGTTTTAAAATTATCGAAGAGGTTGCGTGCATGCTTTCTTCCGACCATATCATGCAAAAAGTTGATGCATGTACCTTATCAGATCCTCCGGTCCGTATTTGCCACTGCCACTTTGTTGTTCTTTAGACTAACGTACGTGAGGAGCTTGATATTTCGTCCCACAGTTCCCTTATACCAAGTTGCTAATGAGTGCTTACAGAGAGCAGAAAATCATTCGGTTGTCTGTTGTGATTGCAGCTTCTCCACATCGATTTTTCCCTGCTGCTTCCCAGTCAATGCTAGAACTTCGGAGCACACACACGTCTAAAACACTAGAGACGTATATTCCATCTATAACAACATAATCGATCTGTTTAATGGCTTTTCGATCAAGAGTCAGAAAGGTAGCTTGAGGAATTGTCCTACGCGGAATCTAGTACTACAATTAACCATGTTTCGGACCCCGACGAAGTTGATCCCACAACTCATTTGGGGATGGTTCATCATGGAGGTTGAACTTACCTACCGTTGTGCCAAAGATACCTTCCTTGCCCACCCGGGTATTAAAGTCGCCAAGCATGATTATGACATCTTTTGATACATACTCCTTATCTTTTGACGGAGCGTGGGCGCCAATTAGCGTTATGGCGAGTTTGTTCGTCTCAGTCCATCTCTCCTAGTTGCCGCCTCAGGCTCCACACAGGTTGGTTACCGCATCTTACCCAAGGGTTACAACTGGTATAGTAACAGTAACTGCTTAACCGGAAGCATAACTATACCATTACACATTTAATTGCCTTGTCTGACCATAAAGCGGCAATCTCAGACTGTAAGCGAGATAGCATATTGAAACTGAATACATACTATATGTTGCGCTTTAAGCTGGTAAAAAAAACGGAGTATTGGTTAATAGAATCATGCTTAAAGAGTATAGAAACTCTGGGCTATGTAGATACTTTTTTATTTGGGATCCTCACGAATTTAGACTCTGAGATATTATTGGTTATTATTTTTAACCGAGACTTTCCGGCTCAATTAGTGATAAATGCGCCATTTTGATAAGTATTATTAAATATTCCAGAATCTGTATCAATTGGAATATGCCGTTCAATCGGTCGGAGTCTACTATGAAGTTCTGATCAGACGCTATAAAAATTAACAAGCATTCCGATTATTATTAAAAATCCATTTCTATATACATTTCAATAGACCTCCAAACTTGTCGACTATTTATCCTTAAAAAAACCACAACCAAATTTTTTTCGAGTTGCAAAATGTTAAGATATTTATTTGATATTGATATATCGACATTTGGTTATGCATACATATATGTATTCCAATTGTATATCGAACTTATTAATATAAATTCTTAACCACGGGAATAACACCTCTGTTGACAGGCGCTATACGAGCAGTAACGGTTCGAATTACCGCCGCAGCCATTGTAATAGAAGCTGCCACAACTTCTAGTGTTCGGATTGTAATACCATCTGGTGCCACCATAGCAACCACCGCCACTTCTGCCGCTGTGATAACCACCCGAGCAGCTGTAGTATTCTGCAAGCATGAAACAGTTATTTTTTTAGGTACAAATATAGATATGTTCATATATAATTATATTTTTTGTTTCTTAGTTTCACTTACGTGGCGCATTCGGGCATTGCGCTTGAGTTTGTCCCAGGAAAAGGAAGACAGCCAAAACTAAGCAGCAAGCAAGGAACTTCATTTGGTAGCTTCTTATTGAGTTGTCGTGATTTCAGTAACTGATAATTTTTGCATTGTCGCAAGCAGCTTTTATAACCAAAAAATGACTGCGAGAAATAATCGATTAAAAAAGAATTATTACGAATTCCAGGTGTTCATTATTATCTCATAAGTTCACACTTCTTTTTGCCTCAATATATGTCTATATGTTAATGAAACAGGTGTTTCACTTACAACCAGCTGTATTATTTCAATGAAACCGATTTTTTTTTTTGAGTAAGTTTAAAAGAATATTGTTCTGAATATATTCTTTGTATTGCAGATTGCAGTTGAAATGGGTTTTATGAACGAAAAAKTTGTAGATTGTGCAAGTTCTCTTTATTCGTTATTTTTAGAACCTCTCCTTTTCTTAACTTATTTCTCCTTCTTTCAATATGTTTATATTTTTAAAATTTTCTTTAAGGAATAAAAAAATTGTCCGTGAAAGTCCTATTAATTTGAACAAAAGAAAGTTGATTACAAATATACTTTAACTTCAAGCCGTAACGCGCATTTAGAGGAGTTTCTTAGAAACTATTGACAATGAATACAATTCAAAGTTATGTTGGTTGATAATGTTTCAGCGTCTCATCATCGTTCGCGCATGCTCTACATTCTGTCTTAGAGCTATCCTAAAGCTAGCCTTTGCCCAGTGACGACCCCTACAATATTGCTAAGTTCACTTTTGTTTAGAAGTAGAAATTTTTTGATCTATCCAACATCTAGTGTTCGGATAACCGAAATTAACTTCGTGGTATACTGCGATGCCAGTGTTCTGATACCTGAAGTGTTCCTGTAGGGTTTAACGCATCAAACGATTCTTGAAGAAGTTGAGGAACAGGGAATACAATTCCCGTAAGCTTCCCCGAGTGACCAATTCACCTACTTTTTAGTTTTTTTTTATTCCTATATGACTAGGTACCTAAGTATATGATATTAACCTACTTACCTATTTATAATGTCTGCTTACAGAACCTCACGCAGTGAGACTTAGTATTGACTGTAAACTAGCTTGGTCCATTCTTCTCAATTATGGAATGCAAATATTGTGTTTAATTCCCCATGAATATCACTTTCTCCGTCGCATTGTCTATTTAGGCCGAGTCCATTAACCAGGTCCGCAGTGATATGACGTCTGGCTTCAAAGGCCTAAAATCATGTGTCGCCTGACCGTAAGCATTACCTCATACCACAATGGAATATGCATTGGTCGGATATTGAAGATAACCCTCAGAGTATTCGCATCCGTACTCCCCAGTAAATGTTATCCACCTCACTATCGCTCCATATGTTGGTTGACATTTGACGCAAACCTCACTTTGAGACAATTGCTTTCCGAGCCGTTCGATACCAAACGAGATTTCGGAAAAGGCGGCTTCCTATCGTACAACTTCTACAATTTGCTCTGGAGAAAGTAATTCAAGTTGCAGAGCTGAGTAGAGAATGTACAATCCTCTGTTCATAGTTCTGGTTTCTCCAGCCTGGAAGAAGCAAATGGGTGTGGTGTTGAACTAGGGCAAGACGAAATATTTCCTGTCATTAAACTGCTGACAGTATAACTTCGAACGTAAATAATTTCGACTGTCTTGGAACCAGCATTAACACCAACAACAACGAAACTCAAAATTCTCTCTTGGCAACAGGAGGTACTTTTCTCAGTTTCTCTCTCGACGGACAAAGACCAAACTCTACAAGTCACTCCGTAGCCTTAGAAACTTAGTCACTTTGTAGCCTTAGAAAGTTACTGCCAAGTTAATAACCTTAGCTTACTTGATAACACGATTTTAAAGCTAAATGATTGTAAAGAATTCCTTGCTTTTCCCGATCTTATGTTTTTTTATGATGTGAAATGACATATGAATGATTTATTTGAATTTTTCCTTTAATCTCCCTTTAAGTGATTATTAATCATATTAATAAATGGACGGTTTCCGCATACGGGTAATGAAACTTTCATAGATATCCTCATCCCTATTGACAAAAACTGGGCTAGACGATTTTCACAACCTTCTCTACAGTCGAATTAATCGTTATGTTCGAACTGCATAAGAACTTCTCCACCAAGTCCCCGGAGCTTCTAGTAAGTCACTTTCCAGATGTGTGCCCTGTCGCTACCCCGATGGAACCTATTGTCTCTCCTATTGACCAAAGCTGGGCCATTGTTGTCAGTACAGCTACGAATTATGAGTTTCGTCGTAAGGAAGCAGCTCATAGTAAAATATATAATGCTAGTTCCACCAAACATATAGCAAAACCTTTTCGAATTAGTTTGACTACGGTTTCGAAAGGCCCATCGGACGCGACCACGACTATTTTCTTTTCACAACGTGGACATTGAGAAGTGGATCAACTTTTTTGCGATTCGGTCGCACCTGAAGACTTCCTTAAGTTAATTAATATTTTAATAAATAATATTTCAATAAAAGGATAGACGAAATTAAAATTACCCATGATTGAATGTTACAGAATTAAGGTCCCTAAACACTGTTCACATTTCATCCGTCTGTCATTATCGAAGAAAATTTGTCAAAAGTGACATATTTGCCTATGTTTGAAGCATGCTCAAAGAGTACTAAGTGAAACCATTACAAAACCGTATGAAAATCTTCCTTGAAACGAATTCTTATCTTTCGGGCCCAATATGCATTTCGACAAAAAAGTACAGCGATATTGTAAATTAAATTCCTCCGATAAATTATATTTATAATTAATTTATTTTGCTACGTTGGTAGGGACACTTAATTACTATGCCAAATAATAGGTTGTCAAAAAAGTCTTGCAGTATTTTTATTGAAATTTTTTCAATCTTCAATTGTTCATAAAATTTTTTTTGATGACTCATGCCCAGCTCTTGACCGATGCTACGGCTGCTACTAGCCGGTCTCTTTCGACCAATTCAGCGATTTTATCGCATTTTTCGACAACAGGCCTTCCGGAGCGTGGCGCATCTTCGACCACCTCTACATCAGAACGAAAACGTTGAAACCATCGTTGTGCGGTGGAAATGGAAACTGTATCGGGTCCATAAACTGCACAAATTTTATTGGCGGCTTGAGATGCATTTTTGCCTTTTTCGTAGTAGTACTGTAAAATAAACCGTATTTTCTCTTTATTTTGCTCCATGTTTGCGACGCTATAACTCATGAACGACTTAAAAGAAACGACAATCAATCAAACACGTGTTAGCGCGTGAAATDAKMTTTCCAAAAARGTATAGYWTGACCMGATGCGACGAATAAAACTAGAACTACGCGCTCTCAGCGCCAACTACCGAAAATACCGCAAGACTTTTATGAGCGCGATTTGTTAACCTGTTTGTTACAGCAGCTTCTTAAGTCGGTACACCTCTATAGTGCGTTCGATTCTTACAATGGGTAAAAATATCAAACAAAGAATTTCTCTCAAATTTTTTTATTTTTAACCAAATTTCGTATGCGGAATCGTTGCAAATGTTGAAAAAGGCTTACGGTGGTTCAGCTTTATCAAAAACGCAAGCCTACGAGTGGCACAAAGCTTTCAAAGGCGGTTGAGTGTTCGTTGCGAACTTCAGCAAGGCAAGTGTTAGAGTCCGTTCGAAGGATTTTGGTGGGTTTTTTTCGACTCGTTCCAATAAAGCTGAATTTTCTTCAAAAAGAATACCGTATACAGGGTTTTATGAATGGACTTGATCGTGCGAATTCCAATTCTCCAGATCGTGCGAATTCCAATGCCAGGGCCGTTCAAAAGTCTAGGTGATGTTCATTTCTTTGAATAATTTCTACTCTCATAAATTTAATAATTATTCCATTACATTTCAGTAAATATTTAAGTATGAACAATCAAAGATGCGAGAAATCACATTTTTAGCTATATAAGTACATATGTATCTTTACTTATGCGCAATTGTGGTTTCAACAAATTAATATTGACAAAATGCCGCCAAAAGTAACAGACTTGTGCTATTTCGGTGCTCCATCATCTGCGTGTGACATTATGGAGAAGCCTACCTTTTGTGGAAAATTCGCTAATAAGTTGACAAAAGAAATGTGGGTTATGCCGCCAAATTACTTTTATTCGAGCAGCCACCATTTTAATGTGCCGCCGTAATGGTGTGAACGGAATAGTAAAACACACATTAAAAATTTTCAATATTTAAACAGCTGCCTTGCTGCCTATCTTAAAAAAGTTTCAACGTTAAGTGTTTGACTGCCAAAATGTGCTACCTTCAACGCGCGCTCATTTATAACACAACAAAATACTTATACATACATATGTATGTACACACAGGCATGCATATGCTGACATTAATATGACAGGTATGACGTTGTTTGCTTGTCATTTCATTTTCAACTCACCACCACACCGCACTTTATGGCGCTGCCACACATATCACGGTGTATATGGAAAGGCAGCCGTGTATGTGGGTGTGTGTGTGTGTGTGGCAGGTGTTGAAAATTTGATTGAGCCTTGCTGCATGGCACAGCGCAAAAATGCCGCATCATATCACTTTTCCATTGCCTCAGCATAAACCATCAACATCAACGCTTATGTGGAGCGCTTATGACAGTTTCAATGTAGCACTTGTGCGCTGTTGTTGGCTTCAGCAACCATATCGACGCACATCCACACATACAGATGTTTATGTGTCTCTACTTCGATTTGTGTTTCGACCTTATGCGCCTTGCCACGGCTCTCTCCTTCCCGCTTTGACACATAAAGTGCATTTTCCCATCACTGCCTGTCCGGAAAATCCGCCTTGCCATGCCTCGCTTCGGCTGCAGCTTGGGTAACTCAGTTTTTAAAGTGCGTTGTCAAATTTCATGTCTCTTCCCATATATATATTTGTACATATGTGTATTTTTCTTACACACATATACATAGATGTAATCATTTGATAGATGAATGGCATGCTAAATATTCGCAGTGCATCTAGTCTGGAGTTCATGTGTGCGCTGAGCAAAGTTGATGTGACAGTTTGCATGTGTGCACACACAATTGACAGGCCTTTTAGGTTTGATAAATCACTTAAC